TCTGCATTTGTAGGACAGATTATGTGTCGAGGTTCTGGAGGAGCTGGAGAAGTGTCTGTGGAGAGGGTAGTCTGGGCGTCACTGCTCCGACTGCTGCCCCCGCGACCCGAGAAAGCAAAAGAAAAAGAGAAAAAGGATGGATAATAATAATAATAATGTTACATAATAGTCCGTTTAAATGACAGAACATATTGAAGCGATCGCGTTGGCGTCGCGCTCGACTACAGCGGCCGACGCAGAAACAATCACACAACAGCCGGAACAACACACAGAACACCCAGAACACCCGGAACAACACCCGGAACACCCAGAACAACACCCAGAACACCCAGAACAACACCGAAACACCCAGAACAACACCCAGAACACCCACACCCGGAACAATACAACACCCGGAACACCTCTCCAGGGAGACGCCCAGGAGGCATCAGAACAGATGCCCTCTTTAACTAGTGCCCTAGTTAGTGTCTCAGATTCCAGACAGTTAGTTGCAAAAAAGATAATTATGTGAGATAATAATAAATATGAATAATAATTGATATTGATTGATGTTCTTATTGTCTTTCTACCATGTTATAACATTGTTCTCTGATCAAAAACTCCCCTGAAGTCATCTGAGGTTCCGTGTACGAAGTCGTCCGAGGTTCTGTGTATCGGCTCCACATGACAATTCTCCATAAAAACACAAAATCCTGACACAAAACTGAATTGTACGGAGCAGCTGGACAAACCTGGTGTGATGAGCAGGAGTTTTATTAGTGGGACGCACAACGAGTGTGTGATAGTGAAGGGGGAGTGACTTAATGCAGAGAGTGAAGGGAGGGAGACTCACAAGACTAAAAGACCACAGCTTGACTAAAACACTGAAAAGGAACGGTCCAAGTACTGAGCCCTGTGGCACAACTGTGATCCACCTCTAGTTCACCTCTAGTCCACCTCTAGTCCACATGTAGTCCTCCTTTAGTCCTCCTCTAGTCCACGTCTAGTCCTCCTCTAGTCCACGACTAGTCCTCCTCTAGTCTTCCTAGTCTCTAGTCCTCTAGTCGTCTAGTCCTCCTCTAGTCCACGTCTAGTCCTCCTCTAGTCTGTCCTCTAGTAGTCCTAGTCTCCTCTAGTCCACGTCTAGTCCTCCTCTAGTCCACGTCTAGTCCTCCTCTAGTCTTCCTTTAGTCCACGTCTAGTCTTCCTCTAGTCCACCTCTAGACCACCTCTAGTCCTCCTCTAAACCACCTCTAGTCCTCTAGTCCACCTCTAGTCCTCCTCTAGTCCTCCTCTAGTCCTCCTCTAATCCACATCAGAACACCAGGGTCTGAGGAACATCTGGTGTGAGGAGAAAGTTCCTCTGGTTCTTCACAAACAGACTCTTTGTGAAGTGAAGTTTACGTCGACTTTAAAAATCACAGCAGGTGAAAGATTCAAACAGCCCGAGTGATGTTTTATATATTTGTTCCAGTTTCTGACCCAAACCTTGAGGTTGTTCCTGTAAATTTTCTGAATGAGCCTCTTTAACGTTTGTTCCTCAAACATGTTCAAAGATCCAGGTTTATACAGTTTTTGATGAGAGCTTTGAGGATCTACTCAACAGGTTTATGTGACAAACACAAACAACTGAACCAACAGAACAAGTCTGGATTTATTGTGTTACATCTCCCTCTAGAGGACGTGTGGAGTACTGCTGTTTTCTCTCACAGGTTTTTGTTCAGAGACTGTGGGTTTGTTGTCACTGTGGGCCTCACAGCACAGTAGTACACAGCAGAGTCTCCCACTGCAGCAGACGACATCAGCATAGAGACGACTTTACTTTTCATTTCAAACTTTAGTCCTTTTATATTCTGTGTTAGTAAAGCTCCAGTTCCAGAATGTGAAACCATGAATTCTGGAGGTTTTCCTGGATATTGTCGATACCAGTAGAAATAATCAGTAAATGTTGGTTCTTGATGATAAGAGTATCCCAGAGAGACAGAGGAGCCTTCTGAAGCGCAGACCTCAGGCTTTAGAGCAGTGAGCTCTTCACATCTGACTCCTACATGAAAACAAATGAATGTAGAAGTTAGGAACATATTTCCTGCTGCTTCTTGCTCTGTGCTTCAGTAAGTGTTGAGTGGATGTAATAAAGTGTGAACATAGGTTTCAATAAGACTTACCACTCAACAAAAGCAGGAGCAGTGCTGCCATTAAAGGAAACATGTGTCCAAAACACAGCTGAGTGATCCTCATGTGAACTTTCTGAAGTCTGCTTAGTTTCTCACACTGACAGTTGGCTTTGCTGCGTCTGTGTTTAGTCTGAAGCTTCACAGAGAGTGTCTCCCTCTAGTGGAGCTACTGCAGTATTGTGTTGTCTTTGCTCCAGAGGTTTTTGTTCAGAGTTTTGGTGTTTCCTGTCACTGTGGGCTGCAGAGCACAGTAGTACACAGCAGAGTCTGTCACATCCACATCCTGGATCTTCAGAGAGAAAGAGTTTCCCTCAGCTTCAACTTCAAAACGCTCTTCATTGAACTCTGGAGATTTAATTGTGTCAGACCACTTTAACGATGATCTAGTTTTGTGCATCATGTATTCAGGAGCTCCTCGTCCTTCTTGTTTGTACCAGTACAGATATGGGTATGAGTCGCTGGTTTGAAAAATTGCATCGTATTATGGCTGTGTGTCCCTGAGTGTCAGAGGTGTCTCCTGTTGGCTGGGTCACTGTGTCTTCTCCTTTACACTCTGGGGAAGAACACAGGAGCACAACCAGAGCTGAGAGCAGTGTACACAGGACACACTCCATCTTAAAAAGTCTTCACAAGTGTTTGTTTCAGTTGGTGACACTCTTTGCTTCTTTTTTTGCTCCAGTCTCACAGCCCTTTTTGGAGGACATGCTCCTCCCACAGTTCACTGTAGAAGTCACAGAGTTACAAACGTTTGTTTCACACTTTTATCCTAAGCTGGATATTTACTGTGAGATTTAAATGTGGAGGTGACACAAAAGGACAGATGTTTATTGTGTTCAACAAAGTGAAGAGTCTGAAATAGTGACAAACTCTCTCCAAACTGACACTGTTAAACTCCATCTTTGTTGTGACCAGTGTTGGGCATTTTACTTTAAAAATAATTAGTTACTGTTATAAATTACTTCCTCCCATAAAGTAACTGAGTTAGTAATGCAGTTATTAACCCACACAACTTCTCATCCAGTCACGTTGGTCCTGCTCTGTCCCTCGCTCTCCTCGCTCCAGCTGATGATGTGAGTCTGTCCCATAAACCGTCTACAGTTCGTCTGCTGCATGAAGTCTGACCAACCCATCGTCACGGAAAACTGTATAATAGAAACTTTGGTCCACCTGAAAAACTATATGTATTTAAGAATTTGGCCTCTGAAATTGTGACGTTGTCACAGTTTTTTGTGCCATTCATTTCCACAGGAATCACGTGACTTTCAATTTTCTTGCAATGTTAGAAAAAAAATGTCTGACCTTTCTCACATTTTTTAGCTAAAAAACCTTTTAACAACTGATTTAGAAACTAAATAAAAAAATGTTATTTTTTTTCTAGTGAGAAATGTGATATTCTGTTTCGATATCTGTAAACACTGTCATTACACAAGCTGTAATTCATGAGTTTGATCGATGATTTCTGGAACACCAAAACAAATCTGTTTTATTGATACAGTTTACTCTGCACCGTTCAAGTTGCTATAACAACGCCTAGATAAAAAGCAATTTTATAGCTGATTTAGAAACTAAATAAAACATTTGATCAGTTTCTAGTGAGAAATGTGGGATTATGTTTCTATGTCTGTAGACATTGTCATTATACCTGTTATAATTAATGAGTTTGATCGATGATTTCTGAAATGCTGAAAGAAATCTGTTTTATTGACACAGTTTATGGATTTAAACTTTTATTTTGAAGTGCATGATTTTAGTTCCTGTTTTGTTTGAACACATGTCTTCATGTTTTTAATGACGTCTGCCACAACTTCACATGATCTCAGCACTTTCAAACTGTTTTTATCGGCTGGTGGAGGAGACACAAAGACACACAGTCTTAAATTTGTTCTCACAGTCATAAATCACCTCGTCCAGAACTTCCTGTCCCATTCAAAGTTCATTCCAAACATTTCACCAAAACCCTCACAACAGTAAAATGATTCATTTCCACCTGCAGTCCCCGAACAGAGAAGAAACAACAAACTAAATGTGATGAAAACTTTTGTCTGAACCCAAACTGCATTGGCTGTAAAAGAGTTTAAATCAAAGTGTGCAGGAAGTTTCTCTGTCACTCTGAGAAGATGCAGCAGCTTCTACCACAGGAGGCTTTTGTGGAGCAGTCTCAGAAAGTGTCTCCCTCTAGAGGACGTGTGGAGTACTGCTGTTTTCTCTCACAGGTTTTTGTTCAGAGACTGTGGGTTTGCTGTCACTGTGGGCCTCACAGCACAGTAGTACACAGCAGAGTCTCCCACTGCAGCAGACGACACCAGCACATGGAGATGCTTTTGGTCTTTACTTATCTGTACTGAAAGACCCGGGATTTCACTTTTAATTTCTGTTCCTGTTCCAAAATGGGAATATATGAATTCTGGAGGTTTTCCTGGATATTGTCGATACCAGTAGAAATAATCACCAGGAGAAGCTCCTCTCTCATAAGAGTATCCCAGAGAGACAGAGGAGCCTTCTGAAGCGCAGACCTCAGGCTTTAGAGCAGTGAGCTCTTCACATCTGACTCCTACATGAAAACAAATGAATGTAGAAGTTAGGAACATATTTCCTGCTGCTTCTTGCTCTGTGCTTCAGTAAGTGTTGAGTGGATGTAATAAAGTGTGAACATAGGTTTCAATAAGACTTACCACTCAACAAAAGCAGGAGCAGTGCTGCCATTAAAGGAAACATGTGTCCAAAACACAGCTGAGTGATCCTCATGTGAACTTTCTGAAGTCTGCTTAGTTTCTCACACTGACAGTTGGCTTTGCTGCGTCTGTGTTTAGTCTGAAGCTTCACAGAGAGTGTCTCCCTCTAGTGGAGCTACTGCAGTATTGTGTTGTCTTTGCTCCAGAGGTTTTTGTTCAGAGTTTTGGTGTTTCCTGTCACTGTGGGCTTCAGAGCACAGTAGTACACAGCAGAGTCTGTCACATCCACATCCTGGATCTTCAGAGACAAAGAGTTTCCCTCAGCTTCAACTTCAAAACGGTCTTGATTGAAGTCTGGAGATTTAGTTGTCTTAGACCATGATGACAATGATAGTTTAGTTTTCTTTAACATGTATTCAGGAGCTCCTCGTCCTTCTTGTTTGTACCAGAACAGATCTGGACTTCCGTAGCTGGTCTGAAAATTGCATCGTATTATGACTGTTTCTCCCTGAGTGTCAGAGGTGTCTCCTGTTGGCTGGGTCACTGTGTCTTCTCCTTTACACTCTGGGGAAGAACACAGGAGCACAACCAGAGCTGAGAGCAGTGTACACAGGACACACTCCATCTTAAAAAGTCTTCACAAGTGTTTGTTTCAGTTGGTGACACTCTTTGCTTCTTTTTTTGCTCCAGTCTCACAGCCCTTTTTGGAGGACATGCTCCTCCCACAGTTCAATGTAGAAGTCACAGGGTTACAAACATTTGTTTCACACTTTTATCCTAAGCTGGATATTTACTGTGAGATTTAAATGTGGAGGTGACACAAAAGGACAGATGTTTATTGTGTTCAACAAAGTGAAGAGCCTGAAATAGTGACAAACTCTCTCCAAACTGACACTGTTAAACTCCATCTTTGTTGTGACAGGTGCAGGTGTTTTCTCAACTGGTTCGTCTGTATTCAGCCTCACATTTTACTCTGTGTAGTTTTGTGTATTTTACCATGTTAGTGTGTGTGTGTGTGTGTGTGTGTGTGACTGTTTTTAATTACTGTAAAACACTTTGTTTGAAAAAGTTTGATTTGATGAAACAGAAAACTTTATGGACTTAAAATAAATAATTAGTAATAATGTTTAATCACAAATAGTCAGAATTAATATGAATTATAATATTGATCACAACAATGTTGATATGTGATAAATGTTCAAAAAGTCTTATATTCATGAATAATGTCATTTTCCTGCTGTGTCGAACGTCCCATGACGTCCACAAAGTCACTAGTCCACGGTTCAAATGTTCACTGCAGATTGACGTCCAAGTGAGTCAGAGTTAGACGTCCAAATAGTGGACGTCATTTACACGTCATTTAGTCCAGAACTGATCTTGGACCAACAGACACAATATAGACCCGAGCTGCAGCTCCATAAGACGTCTGATGTTTAGTGGGAAGTTTTCTTTTGAACTCTTCTGAATTCATTGAAGCATCTGCTTCACTTCTTGCCCACAGGCAGATTCCATCACAAAATCCTCCATAACCTTAGACTTTTCATGTTTTCTGGAGGCTCTAGGACTGAAATGGCATTTTCCTCCCACATGGCCTTAGTTTGTGAGTGCATCTAAGCGGCCATAG